TTTTGAAAATGAATGACCACACAACACAGTTACAACCAGTGGTCCTCCTTCGAGGAAAATTTCAAGAAGATTATCCCAGCCATCTCCGAGAAACAGCCCGTATAACAAAAACAGGCGTACAATCGCAATATGTCGCGCGACTTCATTCCTGACGACATAATAAACTTGCCCCGATTAAATAGACATATTGCTGAATTGCTTGCACAATACAAAGAATAACTCTGTTACATTGTTATTCATCATTCTTTACAGGGAACATTTCTAGAAAAAAAAATAGCCCCCGAACATTTTTTTTAATGCAGCATTGCTGTTAATGAAAATGAAGGCTTTTTTAGGGGGAGGGATAAAGTGTAGCGGATTAAATAAATATCTTCCACGACTCTACATCTGAAAATCAAGCATTTCTTTATTTCATATATATCTAAATAGATCTATTTCCTTTCTATTCACAGAAAATATTGCATTGAACAAGACTGCATGGCAGAGGACTGTTTATGGTGGCCAGCCTTGGGGACCAGATAAAGCAGTGGATGGGTGGTATACAGACCGGTCAGCGCTAGGAGGACAATGTACTATTTCTGCCAGTTATGAAAGAATTGCCACCTGGTGGGTGGATCTAGGAGGTGTACGCAGTATACATCATATCACTATATACTATAGGACGGATAATATTCCTTGGGGTACTGTGAAGGGCTAGTTAAAGTAATATAATATACATGTATTTCATAAATGTTTTAATTTTTCTTAAACTTTTTCTTTGTCTCTCATAAAATTACATGACTGTATACTTATTTTGTCAATAAGTTCTCCATTATTTACCCACTATGCTTTTGAGAAACTAATTTATCTTTCCTTCATGAAATTTGATTTTAAATTTAGTATTAACCCAAAGTTTTGATATATTGTAATCTCAAAAATAACATGCTGTTTTTTCTGGATAAGGGACATTCCATACTTTAGTTGATTTGTGTCAACTTTTAAAGAATAGACATGATGTTATTTTACATTTTGAAAGATATTTTATCTATCAGGAATAAGTACAGAAATTCAAAACAAATAAATAAAACCTTAAGATTTTCTTCATTTTTCAGCATGTAAATTGTTGATTTGAGCAAGCATCTTTATTCAATTTAAAACCATAAAGAAGAGTTCTAGTTGATGATGAGTATATGCGTTGTTTTGACAATACCACTTTCATTTCTTCTCTCCTTTTCTCCAGACCGATACAATGGTTACACAGCCAGATTCCTTGGTTTCTCTGTTTACATATCAAACACAACCGACAAAGACGAGTGGGTTCAATGTTTTATGGACACAATTTATACCAGAGTCACAATACCAAGTAATATAACCATAGAATGTATAAAACATGGACGGTATGTCATCTACTACAATGAGAGACTACAAGGAGTTATCTATCCGGAGGGATATTCCGAGGGCGCACAAAACGAACTTTGTGAATTTGAAGTCTTTGGTAAGAAAACACTATCAACATAATTCATTTAGTATAAATAAGTTTTGTATCCTGGAAACTCTACACCATATATTTCAGAGTATGCAATAAAATAGCTTACAATCGACAAAATAGAAACTGAAGATTTCGACACTTAAATATAATACATACGAGGCTTCGACATAACTGTGTGCTTAATAACGATCTTCTCCATGTTATGTTATCTTGAGTCCCCTATATTCTTGTGGAAGAGTGGAGGATACGCATCATTATTTCTTCTCATGCAAAAAGTATTATACAGAACCAAGAAAGGAATTTTTAGAAATTTTTTTTGCGAATGAGTAAATTTACATACTGTCGATACTCACGTTTTACTCTGGGGAGATAAATTTACATACTGTCGATACTCACGTTTTACTCTGGGGAGATAAATTTACATACTGTCGATACTCACGTTTTACTCTGGGGAGATGAAACGTTAAATGATAGTGAAAATGAATACCAATTTTCTATTGTACAAACTTATTAAAACTTCAGGACGATTTGGTTGATACAATTACTATTTCTTGTTAATTTTATATCGCATGTGTATTTCAAATTAAAGTAATGTATTCTATTGAATGTGTGTTGCTATTATTATTATATACTATGTTTTCTGTGTTATTTCATTTTAAGCTGAAATCCATGTATGTAAATATGTTTGGTATAATGAATATATAGGGAAAGCGCGTAAAAAGATTTAGGATTTTTGCCCAATTCCAATTGTAATTAATATACAATAGAATATATTCAAATCAAATCAGAAGAGCAACTGAGGTATATATATTTAAAAGGAATATTTACGTAACTTTTCAGTGTTTATTTAGGCATTTTAATTTGACACGCATTATTAAAAACTTTGAGTACTCTTTCTTACACTAGATCTTTGAAGGTTTTTAAGGTAAAGGCTATTTTTTTCTTATCAGATAGAGATAGAAGAATACACACAATATACATTTACATATGAATGGATCCGAGGTATTTTTTCTTTCAATTAAAGAAAAATCTAAGGGACCAGGCAAAATTTATCAGAATGATGGGACCGGTACAAACATGCATGGGGCAGTAACTTTTTTCATCGAAGAAAACCATGGGACAGAAACATTTTAGCATAAAGCACCCATTGGACATAGCCATTTTTTTCAATGAGTTACAGTGTTTAACTCATAAGAAATATTCATTATATTTAATTTTTGTTTCGAAAAAAGTCATATCTTTGAAACCCAAACTTAGGATACAAATGGCAAGATAAATTTTCAAATTAATGGAAAATATTACAAAGTATAAAAATGAACAAATAAAAAAAAACTTTCATCAATATTTAAAATATCTGTGATCTGAAATACTCCTTGGTTTTGTTCCAAATATTTCACTAACATTAAGATGTAACCATGGGACAATAACTTTTTTATAAGTCTTAAAGCATGGGATAGATTTTTTTTAAAAATACGAGTGCCATTGGACACGTACTTTTATGAATGAGAATTCTGTTTTGTTCTGACTGGTCCCATCATTGTGATAAATTTTGCCTGGTCCCTAATCATATGTATATAAACAAGATTTGTTTGAGAAACACTCTGCACTCGGCGGCAACAAAGTCCCCAGTTAAAACTATTTTTAGCATATAGGTCACAGTCAAGCTCACCAGTTCAATGGACTCATTTGAAAGAACTTATACAATGAAGTATGCATACCAAATATGAAGTTTCTATCTCTCATGGTTCAAAAGTTATGGCGAAAGTTCGAAAAAAGCTATTTTGAGCATAAAGGTCATAGTCAAGTTCACATGTTTATTGTTATTTGTGTCATTTGAAAGAGCCTTGTTAGTGAAATATGCATACCAAATATGAAGTATCTATCTTCCATGGTTCAATGTTATGGCGAAGGTTGAAATTTACAGCAGACAGACAATCAGACAGGATAAAAAGAATAAACACATCGAATCTATCTCCTATGGTTCAAAAACTATAGCGAAAGTTCGAAAGACCTTTTTTTATATCAAACAAACTGAATTTGACATACTTTTACACACATGTATACATATCTTCCAGACTGAACTGAATATTCTTAAAGACGGGGATGATCGAACAATCTTTGAAGAACTCTTAATTATATCAAAAAGGTGTTGATAGATAAAAAAAAAATAATCAAGTTTTCATTGAATGGGTTCAACTGAACGTTTTAAAAATGAAAAAATGATAATTAACAAATACCACCTTAAAAGTTTTGATGAATAGAGTAAAGAAATGCACTAAATGTTTTAACCATCAGTATTTTTTTTACTAAGGATGTTCTACCACTGGTGTTTATGGAGTAAATTGCACATTACCGTGTCCACAAAACTGTCAGGAGGAACATTGTAACATTGAGGATGGGTCCTGTCTTGGATGTATTGAAGGTTACAAAGGTTCCCGATGTGGAGAAAGTAGGTTTATACAAACGATCCTTAAAGAGTTATTATGAGAGAGATATATATAGATAGAGAGAGAGGGTCATCTCTATTTGCGCTGTGAATGTATCATTTTCAGTATGTTCATTTCCTCTAAATTCACTTTAATTTGTGAGCAATTTTAGTGTAAATATATTCAATTTTCAAATGATTACATCTATACCATAGTTACATTTGATTAAATAGGATAAAAGTTAAAGTATTTAACCAAAGACTTATAATTTGATTGCAAAAATATCAACCTTATTGTACCGTAACTCAGTAAGATGCACACTAACCCTCTATATTCTCTATGATTTTGAGTCATACTTTATGAGTCCTTATCCAAAATATACTTCTTAAAAAATCCTTGATATAACAAACTTCACAAGTGATATATCTTAAGGAACAACGGATTTTCTTGTTAACAACTTGAAAAGAGTTCCCTATTAATAGTTCATTTAGTAACCTATTTAAGAAAGTGTATCAAAAATAAAAATGTTGAAGTATAAATTATTTGTAAATCTAAACCATTTTAATAATTTTTCAAAGAATGCACTTAATATTTTACTTCTCAGAATGTGACAATAATAGCTATGGACCTGAGTGTATCCTTACTTGTGGTAACTGTAGCAACGGAGAACAATGTGATCACGTGAACGGAAGTTGTCCAAACAAATGCGATGCAGGTGCACAAGGTGAAAAATGTGACAAAGGTGAAATTTTGTTCATTATATATCATTCAAATTAGATAAAATATCACTGAAAGATGATCTGTTGTTCATAGTAATGGAAGTATGTTTCCACATTCTGCCAACTATATCTATTTAATATGCAAATATATTGGAATACAACAAAAAAGCTGTATATGTCAAGCTTCTCTCGATTATACACGATTAATTTTGTATCTTACATATCCAACGTCTTATAAATACCAATAATATAAATACCTTAATAAATATTTGTTGAATTGATTATATAATTGTACAGAGAGACCAAATAAAAAGGCTTTTATATTGCTTAGCCAAATTACATATAACTCGTTATTATTTATTTTTATTTATTTATTTCTTATCTTAGAATGTTTTGAAGGAAGTTATGGATATGACTGCCTAGAAATGTGTCATATAAATTGTGGAGATACCAAAAGATGTGACAGCAAAACAGGGGAATGTGAAAATGGTTGCCAGACAGGGTGGATGGGTGCTAAATGTGACAAGGGTATCAAATTGTTTTAAATATGACATAAAGTTACTGTAGACGTACTTTTTTTCCACTCCGCGGAATCTCTATTTCTGTTTAATCCGCTGGCAGCAAATTACGCGGATATCTTCAGACTCTCTTTATACGCCTTATATTTGAATTAAGTTCGATGGGACTAATTTCCACGGGAAATGAGTGACCGCCTACATATCGTTAATTAATACCACGCGGATAAAAGTACTTCTAGAGTATTTGAAAAAGTTGATGATAACAATATAAATAAATGCATTATTACATGAGAAATATGTTGACCCTTTATTCAAAGACTCATTTCACGAAAATAACTTTTTCCCTTTTCAATTCAATTATGCTTCTAACATTGATAAAATAAATACAGCTGAAAAATATACTTTTCAAGTCATGAAAGATACATTAATATTTTTTTCAGATAAATTTGCCTAAAATTAATCTTAGTAACGTTTAATTTCTTAAGAATGTGACGGTGGTACATATGGACAAAACTGTGCTCAGTCATGCGGGGTTTGTTTTGATAAAGAACAGTGTCATCATATAAACGGGACATGCTTGAATGGCTGCGATAGAGGTTATCAAAGAGTCAACTGTACACAGGGTAATTAATTCAATAATTCAAAAATAATCTCGGTTGTAATAAAACATAGAGGAAATTTCGATCTTAAAGTATGTTTTGATATGTATTCTCCTCGAATGCTTTACACTCTGTTCTTAACAAAGAACCTCTGTTTAAGGTAAGTCACTCGTCAGCTTTTTAGAAAAGTTCACGCAGAAGCTTTTACTTCAAAACTACTTATTAAAATTCAATTTTTATAAAATATTTAAATTCATCAATGTAAATTTTTTTAACATTCAATGAAAAAAATGCTCAAAAATGCTCAAAAATCTACAAAGAAGCAAGATTTATGAGGGACTATTTCTTTTGGTGGAAGGATATTTAGCAGAAAATTCTGTAAATCTGCACATTTATAAAATTTAATGTAATTTTAGCCTCACATACTTTTACTCGGAGAATATTTTCCGTTTTGATATTGCTAAAAATATTTAATATAAGTCTTAATTTATATTTTTAGACTAAGTTTTACACCTTCCCTCAGCAAATTTTTCCAAAAAATGAAAATATATTAAAGAAGTCGAGATCAAATTTACTCCATTTTTTGCCTGAAAATCACATATTTTGACAAATATTTCAAAATTAACATCACTGACCCCACCTTTTTCTTTCATTATTTTAAACTACTCGATACTTGTGACTGATCAGCACTTAAGTCGTAAAAAGTTTGATATAAGAAATTTTTTTATTGCCTATTAAGTTTTTTAATACCCCAAATATGTTATTTTTTAGTGGAAAAAGGTCACACAATAATTAACGCGCATTAATTTGCAGGATTTGTTTAATAATAAATATTATTCAAACTATTTTACGTAAAATAAGATTATATTTATTGCCATGCTTACATCTGATCAAATATAATAAGGGTTAAAGTAATTAACCAAAGAGATGAAATTTAAGTGCAAAAAGGTCAACTTAAATGTACCGTAGATCAGTAGGATGCACACTGACCCCCTATTTTCTCCGCGATTTTGAGTTCCACTTTATGGGTACTTATCCAAAATATACTTCTCAAAAAATCCTTGATTTAACAAACTTCAGGAGTGACTTACCTTAAAAAGTAATTTCTAGGTTCAACTAACTTTAAAAATTGATATTTATTTTAGTATTTCTGTATCATATTTTTTTTTTAAGTTTACATTGAAAAATTAATACCTTTAAATTACAAATTGTTTCCTTGTGTAGAAGAAGACTGATTTGTTCTGGCCTTTTTCAGAATATACTGATATTTTTTAGAAAAAGAACTCCATACAAAAATATCCAAAAAAGATCATATTTTAGAACTTTAATGTACGGAATGTTTCCTGTCAAATGATTGATTGATTAAATATTGTTTAACGCCGAGTCGGCAATTTTTCAGCCATGTTTCGGCAGACCTTATTGACGGTTAAGATATCGTATTAAAAATAATCAAATCATATCTTACTGTTAATTTGTTGACCACTCCCTGGATTCCATAAATTACTAACATTTAGATCTCTTTAATCCACTTTGCAAAAAATAAGGTTGCACAAAAACATAAATCATAACCAAAGTCCAGATCCCTATACTTCTCAAAATGCGCTGAAATCCTTTAAAAAAAGGACATCATTTATTTTACTCGACATAAGCTTGAACATTTAAATATTTCCACTGTGTTAAATCGGAATTTCTATGGGACAAATTTTCAAGGTATTTACTCTTTTATACACTAAATACTTGCTATTTAGCACTTCCCAGTTTTTTATGATTAAAAAAAAGATGTCTTATTAAATTATCAACAAGATCCTAGCGGACTGATCTAAAAGAAACATATAAAGGTACATGATGTATTGCTGTAAAATCTGTCATAACCCTTTTCACATTCATAATCAAAATGGTTATGCAGTTGTTGAAGCAGACGCTTCATAATCTTTCATTAACAAAAGGAACTATAACGGATCACTATGAGAAAAAAAAAATGTATCAAAAAGCAAATGGAAATCGTATCTTTAACAATGTGATATGTTTCTGTGTAATGACCCCTTCTTGAATATTATAATTAGAATGAAATTATATTAACAAGCATTCCGAGAGCATTGTATTAGCAAAAAAAAAGAAATTTAAAATGCTGTAATATTACTAAAATTCATTGAAGTGGAGCAAAATGTAAACTTGATATGTTCCTCATCAAGGTACACATGCCAAAACTCAGCTCAATATCTGCAAGCCTTTCGTAAAAATGTTCGGAAAACCATGTAAATTTTAAAAAGACTGAAATTCCCGAAAAATCATTGAAGCGGAACGAAATTCAGACTTGTTCTTTTACTTATAAAGATATATTTGCACTGAATACCAAAAATTGCAGACTATGTAATACAATGTAAATTGCAATTCACTTTATTTTATATGACAGAATTGATCAATCTTAATGTCCTTAAATAAGTTTGCAGTGTAGAATCCTACCGTGCATTAAATGATTCAATAACATATATCTCGATGATCAGGGAATCGAGGCTTTAGAGAAAACAATCCATGTTTTTTATCTCGAATGAAATTTTTCAGTATGCTTCTTATATGTATATAAAGAAACTATGTTATAAATCAGTAAATCTCGAGGACCTACTTTTTTATATATATATATGTATCATAGGAGACATCACCTTCTATGTTAATATTTATGGTTATTTTGATTCAAAAATACAGCATGCCCTGAGGGAAGGTTTGACTATAACTGCAGGCAGAAGTGTAACATCAACTGTAGAAGCGACGGAAAGTGTGACGTCATAACAGGACAATGCAAAGGAGGCTGTTTGACCGGATGGCAGGGTGAAAGATGTGACAGACGTAAGAAAAAATATATATTCAAGATATTATATGACCTCCTAATACAAAGATGAATTTGAAAGTACATATATAAAGAATGGGGACTTCTTATAAATTTGTCTAATTACAAATATCAGAACAAAAGTTACACTTAATTAAAAACAGACGATTACACTTATGCATTTAGACAACACAAAAACATTATATTATAAGTGACCAATATATAGGAATCACTTTTAAAATGAAGGTTTACCTCTTAGTCAGTGTACACAATTTATATGAGATTAAAACATTCTGTATATATTGTTTTTGGTTTCAGTGATTGATATATACTTTCATCCTGACCAAAGCACGCCATGCTGTTCATATTTGTACGGAGTCCTAGCAATTCTGTGTTTGAGTCTTATATTAAACATATTCTTAATTTTCCGGTAGGTACCATCTTTTGTTACAATTTACAAAATATGCAAAGCTGGGTTTATCATGCTGTAACTGTTATGAACAAGTAAAGAAATCTTAATTATCAGTATTTTATTTCTTTTTTGGGTTGTTTCAGAAGCTACAGAAATAAGAGAAACAAGCGAAAGAATCACAAAGAGAAAAATACAAAAGTTAATTCTCAAGAAAATATACTCAACACAGAGATTTATGATAAAGTGGAAGACAACGCAGGATATCAGGAGCTGGGACAATTAAGTCAACCTTCTCATTATGACAAATTAAATTAGAGTGGAGCTATGGATTTTGTGTTTACAATGTACAAGTTATTTAGGATAAAGTGGAAGACAACGCAGGATACCAGGAGCCTGGACAATTAAGTCAACCTTCTCATTATGACAAGCTGCATTAGCTTAGATTCGGACGATATAGTTCTAAAATAGTAATTATAAAACAAATGCCTATATGTGTATTGTTGTAAATACTGTAGATCAGTATATTTTGCGACCTTATTTTAGCGACTTAGCTATTTGAAGTTTAATAACGAGATAAAATTTTCTTGGGCTGAGGTTTCTGTTGTATATAAATATTAATAATACATATATACGCGAGGATAAAATTTTGGCGAACAGACAGGCTCGTTTGATTACTCGAAAATAGATTTCTCGTGAATAAAAAGGGATTTACAGTATCTTTATAAATAATATGTTCATAACATATATAGATCTGAAGAAGCAGATAACTGTCTAGATTCTGTTTTATGTTCGACTTGAATTTGACTCAATATCGGATACTAGTGTATCACGAAAGAAGCGTAATTTTCATGAAAATAATATTAATCATTATTTTAAAGAATATCTCTTTCTGATTAAATATAAATAAATTCCTTATGAGATTGTAGATTTCTGTGTTTCCTCCGCTAATTTATAATTGATAATAGCCATTGAACTTGAATACTGTTTGATACCTACAAATAACTTATGCATATAGGGTGTTATTTTTATAGTTATCCAAAATATATTCTTTAACCCGGAATAAATTTATTTGTTGAAAAAAACAGCTAAGCATAATAAACAAGAGTTGTTAAATTATACATAGAGTTAAAAAATTCCTATAAAAAATCTTTAATGTAAACATTAAGGAAAACCATTACATTATGTGACACTTATTTTATTTATATTTTATTCAAATCATTTCAAAACTGGATCTAAATCAACATTGTGTCCAAATTGTATACTTAAATGTTCCTGACAGTATTCTGTAAAATAACTGAATATTAACATTTGGAATCGTTTTTAGCAACAGTAGAAATGACAGTTTAAAACGTGTTTTCCTGTATAATCCTAGCAAAGAATAAAAGAAATGTATATTTTCTAATACATTTTAAATATTATTTATTCCTTACATGTGTAACAGGAAAGGAGAAAATGCATGGCTGGACCGGGAATCGAACCCGGGACCCCTGTATCTCTAGTCAGGTGCTCTACCAACTGAGCTATCCAGGTCGATATCCACGGCCCTAACCATTACATTCCTCCCTCCTTAAAGGTCTTTGGCCCTCCAAAGACCCCAACCCAGGCTCATCCCCGGCAGGTCTTTCACCTGTCAATTCCAGGGGTGGTCAACGGCATCAAATCTGTAACAGGAAAGGAGAAAATGCATGGCTGGACCGGGAATCGAACCCGGGATCCCTGTATCTCTAGTCAGGTGCTCTACCAACTGAGCTATCCAGGCCGATATCCACGACCCAAACCATTACATTCCTCCCTCCTTAAATGGTCTTCGCCCTCGAAGACCCAACCCAAGTTCTTATTGCCCCTGGCAGGACTTTCACCTGCAATTCCAGGGGTGGTCAACGGCACCAAATCTGTAACAGGAAAGGAGAAAATGTATGGCTGGACCGGGAATCGAGCCCGGGACCCCTGTATCTCCAGTCAGGTGCTCTACCTACTGAGCTATCCAGGCCGATATCCACGACCCAAACCATTACACATGTATGTATTAGTCGATGGCTTATAAATATATGTATTAAAATATATTTGCATGTCATTTTCGTTTTTATTTTGTTCATTCTTTGTTAAATATATGTATATATAAGAATAATCATTAGATTAATTGTATTGATTATCTGTAGTATACACTGAATCAAACTTCTAAGTGTTCACCTAACATTTTTTTTTATTTTAAAGAACAAATGCATACAATAAATTATTTCTTTAATTCGTGGTTAATTTTGCATATTTAAGTTCGATGTTGCGTAAATTTCATGTAAGCGTCTCGTCAGAATTTTAAGCAAAGTTTTAAGAAAATGATGTACCCTCAAAATGAAAGTTCACGCAAAAAATCTTTACTGTTGGATACCATGCGCCCCTTAATAGGAGATACACTGTAGGCCATCTGCTGCAACACCTACTGCATGGATTTTTTCAAACCGTTGAAATGGTGTTAAGGGGGGGGGGGGAGAGCAATGACATTCCTTATAAAAATATCAAATGTGTTCTATGGGATTCAGATCCGAGAATGTGACAGTGCATCATCACACAGATGCCGTTTGATCAATATCCTGGGGATTTTAGCGCGTAAGTGATCCGCTTTAAGGATGATTCAGACTGTTTAAGCTAATATTAGATTGTCACGACCACCGATTTCTTTTTGTTTCATCCGATTAAAATTGTTTTATGTTTCTAAGATTGCTTCAGGACAATTTAACACTCTTTTAACCTGGTGTGACGAAAAAATTTTGGCCTCAGACGAGGATCAACGTCACTTCAGGTTTGGTTAACAATTGTCCAAAACTTTCAAATTGTGATAAATTGGCAATCAAAAATGAGACACAGCCTATAGAAAAATGTTTTTAATGGGTTATGATATTGGTTGTTAATTTCTAAACGTGACGCTAATATCAAGGACAATCAAGCACTAAAATAAAAGTGTGTAAAACGTGGTACAAGGATGACCTAGATATCAACATTCTAAAGGCTCTCACATCTATCTCTTTGGTCATTATGCCAATGTTTTATGTTTTTTAGTGAAACAAGTTTGTAAAATTTTAAGATAATCACAAAAAAAATTTTAATTATTCAAAACACGTGCCGCAAAGTACGTATTTATTGTTTTTAAGCTTAGTCACGGAACATTGGTGTTCATCAGTGATATTTTATTTTCCTTCTAGAACTGTTAAAAAAGGGTGATTTGTTGTAATAATTTCAAAATATCACACCATTTTAACAAGTAGTTTTAAAATAAATACATTTATTAAAGTGAACACTTAGAAGTTTTGTTAAGTGTACATGTAATTCTGTTTGAAAAGCTAATTCTCATAAAACATTATATTTTTTGTGTATTTTTGTGAAAATATTGATGGCAAGTTTCAATTTAAACTTTCAGGAATAAAATCATTCTAATACCTGTTTTTCTTTCACTTCCTATGAAATGTTATACTATTATTTTTGTTTTTGAGCATTAAAAACACCTTGTTTATACTCTTTACCTCTGTTATCAGTATGTAACAGACCCTTTATCAATTTCCTCCTTACCTGTTAGGTCCGTTAGTTTTTGTGTACTTTTTGATTTTCAAATATCTATGTGCTACACATTCTTAATTCGAAAGTAATTTTGGCCTCGGTGCCGCAATCGTCTTCAGTTGAACTCAAGGGCTGTATTTTGCTCAAATCTGAGTTTTTTTCTCAAATCTCTCACTTGAACACAAAAAAGCGTGCCACGCAACCTGATTCTTGCTCAGATTTTTTTCCTGTGTTTTTCTCAAAATATCTGAGACTAGTGAACAGCTGTTCAGATGTCGACTCGACACAAAAAATGGCTGCCTATAGAGTGATCCTTCAAATATTATGAGCAATCCTGGACGTATTTTTAAATCCTTCTGAATTTTCGGCAGAAGTGACATATCTTTAAGTGTTATAGCTTTAGATCAGTGAAACAAGAAAAGACAAGAGCAGAGCAAACACTGAACCCCGAAACATCAGAGGTTTGAACAGAGGCCATGGAAGAGTGAGCATCCCCTGCTGACCGGTCATACCCGCCGTGTGTTCCTTGTCATGATCATGAAATAACGGACAAATCTGTCGTCAATTCAGTGTATAAATAATAGACTAACAATTAGTATGAAAAACGGCAATCAGCATTTGTCTCAATGATAAATTATGTTTGCTGACAAGGTCATTGTGTCCACCATAGAACTGACGAAATGATGTCTTTCCACGAGACGGCTGATATTCCATTTTCATCAACTCGCTTGTCAATAATTTACCTCGATTTAGAAATTGTTCTGACGTAGAGGAAGCTATTATCGAATCAACTGAGATATATACACTCAGTATGCCTGTGATTAATGTGTATTGCTGCATAAGTAAGAGAAGTTGACGGTAGAAAAGTTAAAGTCATCACTTTAATCATATAGTTTTATTGTTATATCTTTTTCAAGTAAAATATCCAAGTCTGAAACAGGTGTGTCAGACTCTGTGGTATCTTTTATTTCAAGCCCACCAGGATATATCGTATCGACGTAGGAATCGAAACTACTATACGGTAACAGTTATACGAGGGTTGTCCCAGAAAATAGCGAACTTTTTGAATATTTTAAATCCTATTCAATCAAAACTAATAATTTTTGGCATGGTGTTGGGAAATCATCTTTTAGATATTCTGACAAAATATTATAGGCATGTGATGCCATATGCATATATAAACAGCATTTAAATGATGTTAAATATCGGTGGTCGGCGCACGACAATTTTTTGACATTTACAAATAGCATTGTGATTGAAGTTTCGTTGTCATCAGGCTATATGGCAATATAATATCAAAAGTTTTACTATCATAAATTCTCTTTGATTTGGTGTACTTGTTGTTAAAATTCCATTCATCTGACATCATTAATGACAGATATATGACGATATATAGCAAAGCGCTTTAAATTAGACATTGTCAAAAATGGCGACGTTAAACTGTGATGCGGAGCACCAAATTATCAAGCAACACTATGTTGAGCGGGATATGACTCCTGCATATAGGAAAAAAGATGTTAACGATGAACGAACCCGAAAAAAATATGGCTAAGAGGTTTATATCTAGTAGAAGAGGTTCTAGGTTGACTTGACTAATTTTTTGTTAGAAGAGAATAGAATTTTGCACATAAATATAAACTAACTGAAAAGACAAGAGTGGAACGTCATAGGCCTACGTGAAGACCGCTGTCAAATAATTCGATCAGGTAGCTTTATGATCGTGATTGTGAAATTGTCTATTGAAAGAATTACACCCCCCCCAATCTTTTAGTAACATTAGAATCTGAGATGCATAACTTGGTAACTAAAAATAATTAAACACATTGCCGAATGTGTGAAAAAATTAATATTAATAGAGACGAACTTTTCGTAACAAATTCCTAAAGATT